TTCCTGCTTTCCTCAGACATTCTCCATGTATTAATAGCTCTGGCTGAAACATCGAGCCTTAAACCCATCCAAGGAAAATACAAATGGACCAGTGAAAAAATATAGGGTGCTGTGGAAATTCCTGAGTCATTAATAACATCTTGGAAACCCTTAGCGGAGAATTAAACTTATGGAGGAAACAATAGTGCTCCTTTTTACAGAGTGTTTTTCACCCTCTGAGCAATTTATGAGCATTGATTAACTCATTCTCCAAATAACACTTGAGAGCTAGGGATCATCCTTGAATTTATAGCCAGAGGGAGGGAGTGACATGATTAAGGTCACACACTAGGTCAGTGGCAGAGCCAGCAATGGACCGTGGGAGTCCTGAGCCCAGAATCTGGTGCTCAAACTAGATTGTATGCAGTCTCTTTGGGGAATAGGTCATTTGATTTGTTTAGCAGGTAGCCCAGTGGAGTCTTAGACTATGATGAGTCTTCCTAGAGTACTACAGTATTAGTAGTAGTGAACATTGCTAACAAGTTATTTAAGTAGTTGCAGTTGCTGAAGAGAGAGATGGAGGCTTCCCTGTGTGGTTAGAATATATCCCTGTGGTGCACTCCGGACTTTCTTTGGAGACATTCAAGAGAAACACAGATCAATTTGTGTCTGAACCATGGTTCCTCTTCTTTTAGCCCAGCTCCTGCCTGCAGTCACTAACATCAAAAGTGAAGGCAGACTCCAAGTTTGGGAAGCTCTTTCACTTCCGTATCCCAGTGCTGATGTGGGACCGTCACCTAACCCCAGAGACATGGAACAAACTGAAGGAGCGTGGTGTCCCTTATGGCTGGCAGGGCTTGTCCTACGCAGGTAATGGAGCAGATGGCACAATCCCCTTTGTCATATGCCAGATGTCCCAGCCCCTTACCCATTGCATGAGGATGACATTCCCTTGTTACCTTGCTAGGCGGGCCTGGTCCCTAAACACCACTGGGATGTGCGTATTGTAAGTGCAGTGGATGGAAAGGAAGAAAGGAGGGGTGGCAGCCTATAAGTATATCAGGAGCATTCATCAGGGCCTGGGGAGCATCTATTCACCAAGGACCCTTAAGGGAGGACAAGAAATAATGGGCACAAGCTGATTGAAGATCTCTTCAGACCGGATATAAGAAAAAACTTCTTTACAAGCTGAGTGCCAAGGGTTAGGAACAGGCTCCCCACAGAGGTGGTACAGTCACCCACCCTGGCGATCTTCAAAAAGCATCTTGATGCCCATCTTGCTGGGGTCATCTGATCCCAGCGGTCTTTCCTGCTGAAGGGCAGGGGGGCTGGACCCAATGATCTGCAAGGTCCCTTCCAGCCCCTAACATCTATGAAACTATGAAAGGTGGCCTGGAGAAAGATTGCGAAGCCCGTTGCCAGTTATCTGAGCCTGTTTATAAAGTCCCCATTTCCTGTTTATAAAGACAATCCCCAGCTCTTGTGATTGACAAACGTCAGAACAGCTTGGTATCATCATCACCTATTATGCAGAAGCAGAGTGAGGCCCAGTTTTGCCCCCAACAGTCCTATGGGTCAGGAGGAGAGCTAAGGCTAACAGCCAGCTTTCTCCAATCCCATCCCAACGTATGCCCCTACAAGCTTCGCTGCCTATGCCTGAATGGAGGGAATAGGTTCAACTGCATTGCTTTATGTACCCTGACTCCATATCCTGTCCCTAATTCCTGCCACCACCCCAGTGGGCAGGGGCCCATGTCACTGGAGCCCCCAGATTAAGGAGCTCCAAATGGCAGCCTGGTTGGCAGGGCCAGCAGAGAGGCTATGGATGAAATGGGTTGTGGATCCCGTACTTGCTTAAAGACCTTAGCAGGAGAGCATGGTGGGGGGGGATGCTTGCCAAGGCTGCAGCCTTTGGGAGGACTTCAGTCTCCAGAGCCACTGCCTAGCACTTTCCAGGAGTATTCATGCTCTGAGCTGCATGGTTGTGAAGGGTGGGAGGTGGGGGCAGAAGCAGCTGGGGAGGTGAGCGGGATGGGGAGGCAGGGGCTGCAAACACCATAGTCACACTGGCATTTCCTAGGTTCCCTCGGCGACAGCTATCTCATTTCCTCGCTGGATAGGGCTGGGCAGACCACAGCCAAGGCCTAAACCTGATTTACAGCTAGGACCGGGTCTCTGTTTGGAAAGGCTTGTGGGGTATTGAGAGACCAGAGACAGAGGACACGACAGACCTGACTGGGCTCCGAGTCCATACCATGTAAACAGAGGGGTCACTATCTGGTTGATAAAAGCCTTCCTCCCCGGGGAGACAGGAGGGAGACCGGGTGGGAGTGGCAGGGCTGGGAAATGCTGCTATCAGTGTCTTGTGACATTTTCCTGAATAAAAGCTCCTAGTGTCCGCGTGATTATTAACTCGGAGTGAAAGGATCTCAAACAACCCGCTCCATTGTTGCAGGCCATTGGCGGCAGGGGATTGTTTCCCTTCCCACTCTGTGCCCACTCCCCACGCCTCTCGAGCCGCGGCCGGCAGCTTGAATCTCTCAATTGTGAGGTGATGATGGAAGCGGCCGCGGGCAGAGGAAGAAACAAAACAGCGTGGGCAGTGCCAGCTGCAAGGAGCCATGGTTGGGAGGGAGAGGGCAGGGCATTGCCTCAGAGCAAGGCTAGCGAGTGCCATAGGCCCTCACCCCACGGATGCCTCCCATTGGGACTCCCACCACCGCCCTGCCACCTCTCCAGAACCAGCCACATGGACTCCAGCAGGGCTGGGGTCAGGGAAGAGGCTTCTGTCCTGGATCGCTTAAATATGGAGCACATTTCTTTTTCTAGAAGATTTTAGAGGCAAGGGATGCTCAGCATGGGCAGGAAAATGCTGCCCACATACTGAGCTGGTGCAGGAGTCCATTACAGGCCGTATATAGCTGCCCCTCTACCTATTCAGCACCTGCCCCTTCTTGCTTTGATCCCCAGCTATTGCCTCCACCCTCCGTCTCCTCAATGACTCTGCCAACAGATGGCTGATTGACAGAGCCAGCTTCCCTGGAGACTGCATCCGCTGCGCCGTGGTTGGGAATGGGGGGATTCTCCAAGGATCCCGGCAAGGCAAGGAGATCGACGCGCATGACTTCGTCTTTAGGTATGGGCAGTTCCACGTCGCTGGGACTCCTGGGAGCTGTAGCCTGGGACAAGCCACCAGCTGGAGGGATGTTCACCTTCGGCACAGGTCCATTTTTTCAGCTTTACTGATGAAGGGAAGCCACTGAAAGATCTGATGGGTTAAAGCTGTTCTCAGTTAGGGGAGTTCCAGGTTCACATAACTTGCATTCTTGCTGCCCAAAGAGAGCTGTGGGTGTTCTGCTTTAATGCATATGATTTCGCTCAGTGCTCCAGCAGTGGGGGTGAGATTGTTAACCATTAACAGTGACACTTCATTGCATATCTGAGGCAATATCCTCCTTGCCTTTCATTGCACAGTCCCCTTTTCAGGTGATCTTGGCCTATCATGGATTATTCCCTGGCACGAGATAGTCTAGGCCCTTTAAATCAACACAGCTTCATCCTGCGTGGAGTCGTCTGCCACAAGGGCTCTTTGCTGAGAGGAGCACCATTAGGTCCAATGTGGAGAAACAAGGACCTGGTGTTCATGTTATAATATCAGGTCTGCACCTTGGCCGAAGTGAAGGTGCCTGTGCAGTGCCCTGTATAACAGTGAGGGACGGGGAAATGGAAGCCAAAGATGCCAGAGCAAATCCCTACCGCCGTAGAAGTGGCTACAGGGTTTCTGTTGCTTGAGCAGAGCCGGTGAGACCTCCATGGTGAAATTTTGCCTGAGCAACACCTTTCTCCTCTCACACAGTCCATGGCTGGGACTTGAGCTGGGCCTCTGAGGTTATATCTGGACTGCTTTCACGGTGTTCCTGAAGGCACTGCCCAGGTGCCGGCCCCTGGGCACCCACTCCTGCTCTGCCCTGCCCCATTCTGCGTTTTGTGTGTATCTAGTGCAAGAGGGAACATGGGGCCTGCTTCTCCGCAGTACTCTCAGGAGCACTGCAGACACACGACAGGGGTAATGCAGGTATCAATCCTCTGTGCTGGCCCATTGTCATGAAGCCAGATGGCTTTTTGGAGGTAGATGGAGAGGCAAAAAGTTACACCTTTACAACCACACAAACTGACACACACACACGACCCCAGAGGGAAACAGCGTTGATAGCAGAGGCAATGTGTTGAGCACCCTGTGGTGAGAGGGCAGCCCTTTATCAGACCCCTCATCTTCACCTTGGTCCTTCCACAGGCTCAATGGAGCTGTGACCAAAGGCTTTGAGGAAGATGTTGGGATGAAGACCTCCTTCTACGGCTTCACAGTGAACACCATGAAGAACTCTCTCATTGCTTACAGAGAGTATGGCTTCACCCGGGTACCCCAGTCCAAGGTCAGGAGTTCAGGCTGGGGCTTGCTCTGAAAACCTTTGGTTGGATCTGGAGACTCATCCAGGTTGAGGGATGGAGAGTTACCATCCTGGGCTGGCTGGCTGGCTGTCAATGCGCGCAGCCTGGGAGAACAGCCACCTACCGCTCTGCCTGGGACGAGGCCCCAGCTCCTTTCTGGGTCACCAGAAACCTTCCCTGTATTTGGAAATTACTGTTTGTTCCTCAGTGTCTACATCTCCCGCACTTCCTGCCAAAGCACGTGTTTATCTTCTCACCCTACGTGTGCGGGTGGATGAACGAGGTTCCTTCCTCTAGGCAGGGTTGAGGGTGTGACGGGGCCGGGCTCTTCAGCTTCTAAAGCATCGTGTCCTGTCCCCTCTCCGCTGCAGGAACTACGTTACATTTTCATCCCCTCGGACAGGCGCGATTACACCATGCTGAAGTCGGCCATCCTAGGCAGCCCTGTCGAAGACGGTCCTGACAAGGGTGATGAGTAAGTAACCCTACCGGTCTGTCCCAGACCCACCCTAGCCTAACCAGGCATAGAGCTCTCTTGGCAACTGATACCCTCTCTGCCCAGGGTGGGTATTTCTGCAAAGGTCCTCAGTGCTTACATGAGCCTTGTTGCTGTGATATCAGCCTGCCTCAGCCCTTCAGATATTCCTCCTCACAGGCCCTGGGAGGTAGGGAAGTGCTATTGTCCTCTTCTCACAGACTGGGGTATCATAAAGCTAAGTGACTTGCCTGAGGCTGCAAAGAAAGCCTGGGGAAGAGGAAGGACATGGGTCTCTCACATCCCAGGCTGGTCCCTTCTCCACTAAATCAACCTTCCTTTCTCTGAACTTCAGCAATGCTCCAGCCCCCGGTGGGACCGACTCAGTAAGCAGCCTTGGAAACTCTAATAACCCGCTCTACAGCACTGCAGTACTTAAAGTCTCCACGTATGGAAATGAATCTCTGATTTGGTGGCCCACTTTCACTGGCAACCCTTGTTCCTTTGCTAATACAAGGGAATGATCAAAACAAGGCAGGAACTGGACAGCGGGGCCCACCTTTAACACTGTCACAAAAATAAAAGCCTGTTAATGCCTGGGTGAGTTGCTGCCCCAGAGGCCGTATGTTAAACCTCAGCACCCAGGGAGCAGTGTATTTTCCTTCAGCAGTTGATATTTTCTCACAGCCTGACCTCTCTGCCCTTGAAAAATGGCACTGCTGTTTAGTCTAAACAACTAGCCTCTTTTTTAGGTTATAGGATAAATACCAAGTTGTGCAAATAGCAGCATGATGTGAAATGATGTTTTTTGATCTCCCTGCCTCAGACCATCAAAATATTTTGGACCAGAGGCATCTGCAAAGAAGTTCAAGCTGCTGCACCCAGATTTCATGCATTATCTAACAGCAAGGTAAGGAAAACAAGGTGTCTTTGGGCAAAACACTCCCGCAATACCACAGCTCCTGTTCAGTGCCACGCTCCCCCAGATCTATTCCCAGCAGCCTGCCCCTGAATTACTAAGCACCATCAAACTCAGTCAGTCTTTCTGCTCTTGGCATTCAGTCTCTTCCTCACCCTGCAGTCTTCCTCCATTGCTGCAACCCACTCCAGTGACACTGAATGTGCTTCTGCTCTCACACAGGAGTCAGTTCTGTCCCATTCATAGCTGTGCAGCTCACTATGATCCCTTTGGGAATTACCCCAAACTGTTTCTGTCCATTGCAGTTCAACCCAGTTTGGTTCCTTGCAGGCTAATGTGTCTTCCTTCAGCATTTCCTTCATTATGTTTGCTGTGGTTGAAGCCTCCGTTCCTCCTGAGCTTGATTGCTATAATCCCGTCTCTTTGCTCACAGGTTTTTGAGGTCGGATATAATCAATACACAATATGGCTACCTCTACATGCCCAGTACTGGTGCCCTCATGTTGCTGACAGCCCTTCATACCTGTGACCAGGTAAGAGGCTTTGAGTGGGGGGGGGCCTCATTCCGGTGGCCGGGTAAGGGGGTTGGGTGGGGGGGGGGGGGGGTACCTTTCTTCAGTGCCCCATACTCTATGTGCACGTCTACAGTGTTGTGATTACAGATCATGTAGCCATACACAGGTTGACTTTATACCACCTAGCTTGGGTACCAGTACCAGTCTGGTTAAGTCTGTATGGATCAGGCATGGATTTACCTGCCCCAGTATTTACCCAGCTTCTGCAGGGGGATTGGCAGTCAGCACTGAGCTGTCACAGCTAGTGTCCCAGCTGGCTTGGGTAGGTGGATCTATACAAGTCGCATCTTGGCTGCAGCACAGATTAATACCATTAGCATAAGTTTAAGCTGAAGGCACGATACTGGCAGTGGAGAGTGGAGTTACAGCCATTGGCTCTTTGCCCATCTCTGCTAAGACCTAATGTGTTTTGGAGAAGGCTCAGGTGATCCAACCCTGATGTTCCATCATCTCGCTGTTGGCATTTGGCTGTAGCTCCAATGGGCTGCTGCGTCACACTAACGAAGAAGGGTGGAGTAGGCCTGGCAATGCATTATGCCCCATGTTCCTGGTCCATTTGGCATTGCTGGAATGGGTAGCCCCTTATTCCAAACACTGGAGTAGAGACTGCCACAGGTTGGACCCCTCTTCCTTTCCCATCTCATTTGCACCACCTTTCACGCTTCCTCTAGGTCAGTGCCTATGGATTTATCACCGACAATTACGAGAAATTTTCAGACCACTACTACGAGCTGGAGAAGAAGCCTCTGGTGTTTTATGCCAACCACGACATGCTGCTGGAGGCCGAGCTCTGGAAGAGCCTGCATCGGGCGGGCATCATGAAGCTATACCAGCGATGAGGCAGGCTGGTAGCTTATAGGGACAACTTCCCTGCATTCTCTGGATGGAAAGAAAGCATCCTTCTCCTCTTTCCCATGGGGTCCCTTCTCCCCTTCTGAGGCTGTCAAGAACTTACAGGCAAATGGGGCCTATTCACTCATAGCCAACCCTACAAACTGAAGTAGACGAGTTGTCTCGACTCGCTCCTCGGGTCCAGGGCGTGGGCTGGAGGGCTTTACTTGGAGGCTTCAGAAGTAGCAAAGCAAATGTGGCCAAGTCTGCTCAGGCCTTTTTGGCACTTGGCTGGAGACAACAGAACCTGGAGCTGCCTTTGTCACAGAGGAAAGCTACGCGGCTTCTCCCAACACACCCAGGATGAAGTGGGCAAGAGCTGCCAACAGCTGTCAGGGTGCATCTTCTGCTCATCTCCCAAGGGAGTGTGATGGCACCAAGTGGGGATGCTGGAGGGTCCCATTACCCTACTTCCCGTTATACACTGCTTTCCCTCAGCACACAGCTTCCAGCTGGAAAATGTGCTGCCTACCACTGCCTCCTGCCCATCAACACCAGCTTCCTTCAGGACTCGAGAGCCCCAGCCCTATTTCCTTCTGCCTTTAAACTCTTCCCTCCACCCCTAGTGTAATGCATCACAACAACACTCTCCACAGCTGAAGAGAGCCAGGTGGAACTTGTGGACATTGCTCAAGTGAACCAGGTAGACAGCCAAAGAGCATTACTGCTGGGCACAGTGAAGCCTTAATACTATAGTCATCTATAACCCCTCATCACACTCATGCTCCACTTCCTGGGTGGAACTCCATTCTTCCACCTCGCTCACCAGCACAAGACGAGGTCAGACCACTTCCTATACATACAAATGTGTTTCAGCCCTTGTTTAGCTTATCACTCCATGTTGTAGTCATCAAAGGTGATGGGAGTTTTTACAGGTAAATTGCAGCAACCCTGCCCTCAGCTAGCTGGAACCTCAGAGGCAGATTGGGGTGGGTGGAGTTGTGTAAGGTGGGTGATAGAATCACAAGGCAGCAAGTGCCTTATTTGCATTTCAAATCAATGGTGCCTCTGGGTAGACTAAGAAAGAACCTACTTCTTTTAGAGATAGGAGGGGACCTGCCACTCCATTGTGTAAGACAAAACCACCATCAAATTTCATTGAAAACAATTAGGCAACAGAAAGATAGTGGGAGGGGGTGGGATCTTTAACCCTTAAGCCATGTTGTCAGATAATTAAGTGTAAATAGGACACATCAGATCAGCTACAGGTAAGTTTATGTGCTACAGGAATGCTGCAAGGGCTAGGGATAGATGGATGGGTGCGAAAGGACAATGGGGAGAGATGAAGTGTAATTTGAAACATTTTCCCACTTTGTATAATTGCATAAATGTTGAATGATCTTTTTTCCTTTTATGTTCTCTTTTGTTATTTTAGCCAACGGGCCGGGGCAAAACATGACAGGTAGAGAGGCTGCTATAGAAAGCAAAGCACAATGCAATGTGTGACTGGTGTTATTAGAGGGCAGGTTGGCAGGAGGGGGTTGCCTTGCAGTGACTACCAAAGTAGAGAGGATGAAAGACTGTGAAACCTGTGACTGACGGTCACTAGCAAAAGCTGATGCAATCAACTCTAACTCACAGAGCCAAGGGGTTCAGTGCCAGATTGTTTCAACCCGGCAACTAGAATTTAGCAATTTTTTATAGTTTAGTCTTTGTTTGCTGAAAGTCACCATGGTAGAATTGCACTCAGCTCTCCAGTTATGGTTGGGAGACATGGCATAGTGGATAAGCACAGGACTGGGGTACAAAATACCTATAAACTCAACCCAATTGTTACAGACTAGTTTTGCCCTCTACCTGTTGGCAACATACACATTAAGAGCATTTTTGTACATTAGCCAATTTAGACTCACTCCCTTATGCATAAGCCTCATTTGGCAGACAAAAAAATAAGGAGTTTATTGTCCAAGACCACATTATAACCACACAACCCGCCTCGAACATTAGCTCAACAGTCTCCAATATAGAACTGGCATTATGGGGTCTCTTGCCTTTCGCAGGCATAGTGACAGTGTCTCAAACATATTCTAGAGACAGCTGCACAGTAAAAAAGGGTCTTACATGCCTTGTAGGTACCCAAGTATCGTGCAGTTAGCAAGGTGAAATGGGGCATGCGGTGAACCTTCCTGTAAAGGCTGGCCATTTAATTAGCAGGAACAGGCATTGTTAGCCAGGCTGAAGCATGGTTAAGTTAGAGGGAAACAGGCTTATCACAGTCTTCAAAATGTAACAGCAAGTGGGTCATTTTTGGATTACAGATCCATAGAGCCCTTCACAGGACACTCAAGGTAGCTTTATGTAAGTATACAGCAGGGGAAGAGGTAGGTTAACACAAGCTACCCAATGATAACGAGAAAGTGACTGCCACTGTCAGACTGGAAGTGCTCTAGGCAACCAGGTTCTCTCAGGCCAGACACTTTTGTTGGTTCAAAAATTGCATCCTAAATTTTCATTCTCTTCTCTCACTTAACTGCCTCCACTTGGGCTGCTGCCAGCATGAGCATCATCTGGCAGGAAAAAAGGCTTAAATCTTAAAGCTCTCAAATCCAACACCAGGACTGGAAAAAGCAATGAAGTTGCACACTATATTTCTTCCAGCTCCAGCTACTAAAGACAGTCTAGGCTTAGTCCAACAGACAGAGGTTGCTGCTTTCTATAACCACTGGACATCAATTCAAATGAAATCCATTTATAGACGTGCTCTGGGGGGGGGGGATGCTTTAATTAGCATGGCTCCCAAGAGCCATGCTAATTAAAAGTACACAAAGCATCACACACATCAATGTCCCCATGCTGAAAAATGGCGGCGGGTATGCTTTTAACCAAAGCTCATCGAACAACCTTTAGTTAAAGCACCCCTACTGCCATTTTTCAGCGTGGAGGTGCCAATACATCTGACACTGGAGTCTGCTGGAGCATAGCAATTACCACACTCAAGCAGACTCAATTAATTGAGCCTGCTCCAACATGCTGTAATTACAGCGCATTGGAGAAGTCTCCCTGCACATGTACAGGAGCTCAGTTACTACCAAGGGCCAGGCAGGGCTCCAAAGAGGATATTGCTGACTTTCAGACACCCGTTTCTCAAGTACACCCCGCTACTTCTAGTAGTTTCTTTTGAACCTCTGCTGTACAAGAGAATCAAATGACAGATGCTGAAAACAGTTAGTGCCAACACTGGTTTTAGCTTATCACCAAAAGAATCTCAGGCATCCAAAATTGTCAGCGATTTATTTATTTTTTTGTCTGAAGATAAGTCTCAGTGATGGACAGCACTTCTCTCCAGCCAGTTCTGCTGAAACAGGACCTATCTGGGTAAAGGGAAAAAAAGTCATTACATTTGACAAGAGAAAGGAGCTAGCTAGTGTCTAACTAAAGCAGAGATTGTGGCCAGACACAGAAACTTTTCATCTGTATTTTATTAAAATAACAGTGTCTGAGGGGGCTGAGAAGTTTTACAACTTCAGGATGGATGACAGGTCAGTTCTTGCTCTATTACTGACTGGCATAGCAATGGGAACCTTTACTCCCTGAGATGCGAGTCTGGCCTTGTCCATGTCACAGCTAGCTGCGCTAGAGCCGTGTTCCTGCCACTCCAAGAACTCACCCTCTCCATATGCATGGTATGAGTGTCCATTTGCTAGTGAGGCAAGGAGTTTGTGAGAGCGCTCAGGAGCACAAGAAAATCCCCAGTTACCTGGAAGCAACCATTTCACTAATGCTTGAGAGCTACCCAGTACCTACTGATTAACTAGGAGCATATTAGAAACAGATATGTAACTCCAGGTCAGCGCCTGCAGCTTGTAACATCAAGTTAATGGAGACTTTGGTGACTAATGTGAAAGCTACTGCCTGGACACACAACATACTTGAATTTGGTGTAATTTTATTTGAATTTGGTGCAGAATTACTCCAGAGAAAACCAGGACAAACTCATCCCAGTGTAAGCCCTGTGCACCTACTAGCAAACAAGTAATACCTGCTCTGCTACCACCTAGTGGCAAGGCACTACCCCGAATTACTTGTCTACTCCAAATCCTTAAGTAGCTTATGCTTGCACTAAATTCACTAGGAAATCACACCGCACAAACATCTTATGTGCCCAAGTGCTAATAGATGTTATCTAGATACAGCAAGTAAGGCTTATATTGGCCAGATCCAGGAGTTGTGTCATTCTCCACAGTACTAAATGCTTATCTTATTTCTACTTTCTATTTCTAGTCTGGCTCTTCATTTTGTTTTTCCTGAAGCCTGGCAGCTGCAGCTATTTCCTAGTAAGCTATGCCCCCTCAACTGAATAAGCCCCGATGTTGTGTCCAAAGTGGGACATTAGAATCCATATAATACAGCAAATGCAGAAAACTTTGTACAGGAAGATCCTGTCCAGTTCCTACACATTCAGTGTGAATTATTCAGCATCTCTTAGAACCAAATGTTTTTCCCTCCCAACATACCAGCTTCCAAGCCCAAATGAGTTCCAGTTCCATTACTTTCAAATCCACTGTTCAATGCATGGCAGCTCAGGACATCATGCAGATATTCCACAGGCCATCAGCAAACACACCACGTGCCTTCCAAACCCTGTTAGAAAATTTGAACACTGAATGCGAGTTGCTAGAGGAATGGAGATCATTATTAGTCATTTGGAAATACTTTGAGATGGCTGCCTGAAATGTTAACTGCAAAAGTGTTTAAAGCTTTAAGAATGGAGGAGAGGAAAATTCATAAAGGGTGTCAAGCATAACTGACTTGCCCAAAGTCGAGCAGCAACTGGTGTCAGTGTCCAAAATAGAACTTAAATCTCTAAGGCCCAGTCTCTTTCTGTTAGTCACTAATGCTCCTGGATGGGAAGCAAAGCAATCCCTCATGATGAGTATGGATGAAAAGGCAGGGCACTGTTTTTACTCCAGTGGGACAGCAGTAGCGCACACAGAATAATGGCTTTGTTTACAACTATGACTGATGTGGAAAAATGTCCCTGGTTTATGAGCCTCAGAGATATTCATTTCTCCCTCACAGCTGAGTTTTCAGACAGGGATAACAGTACATCATTGGCTCAGACAGACTTGCAGGGACAAAAAGCAGACTGGAAAATGCAGAGTTAGGAAACCTCTAAAAACACACCAGGTCACAGCCTGCTGAGAAGCAGGATTAAACCTGTCCAGGAAGCCAGCATTGATCACCATCTTCCTGACAGAAATGTGTTCAGCAACTATGCACTCTGGGCAGCAAGAGCAGGTTACATTTCTACTCAGGTTTTCCACAAGCCATGCATTATTCTAGCAATTTCCTACCTGCTTGCAATCAAAGCAATCACCATGGGCGTGCAAGAGGTAGCTTCTATAGTTCAAGACAGTGTCTTAGAAGGAAGAGCTGCACCCTGTGAACACCAAGCAGAAGCCATGTATTAGAGAGTCATCAATCACACAAGCTCTTATAAGGGAAACCAATTCCCAGTCTGCAAACCCAGTTCAGATAAAGTAAAGCATGCACTGCAGAGTCCCAGTATTAAACCCCACAAAGGAAGGTATCAGAGGGCCAATTTTGGATTACAACCCAGACCTTAGGATGGCCATAGCCTGTCCTGCACAAAGCCAAAAGGTACCTTCTTATCAGCACTCTCCTTTCAACAGCAAGAATCTATAGTCAAGATTTCCTATGATAAATCCTTGCTTAAAGGCACCAATGTAGATGATAGTTTGTGTTACCCACTGTTATTAAAAAGCGTGCCCTCCCTATCTTTTGGCAGCTACAGGGAGGGGGTAGGCATATTACTTGAACCAACTTTAAATCTCACTTCAACTCATTTTAAGCAGACGCCACTCTTCAGTGTTATAGAGAGACTTTTCCTCGATCAGCTCCCTCCCCACACCTAGGAAAAATCCGACACTGCTTTCTGTACTACCGTTGAGGACCTTTTTGTCAACTGCATTTGGGCACATGGAAAATATAATCACTGCATCTCCAAAAGAAGCTATTATTTAGCTTCTCAGTTCCTTTTTGAGTCACCACCTGGCATCTGTGAGTGACACCTCCCTGCTCCCCACCAGCCAAAGGCATGTTTCCGAGCATCTCTGGGTGAGTAAACAGACCAATTATTCTTTCAATAGGCCTATTTCTGTGGCAAGGGCACTTCTGGGATGAGCTGCATCAAATGTCTCCGTTATGGAGTGTTATCTAATCCCTCCTTGCTCCATTCTCCCCCACTCACCTTTGACCGTGTCAACAACCAAACGGCTTGCCCAGCAGACAGATTTAGATTCCCATTCAACCTTTGGCCCTTGAAAGCAAAGGGTTCTGCACTCAGGTGTCCGCTGCAACAATACAGCAGCGTGTGACTGGTACCCAGCGGAAAAACCAATTAATTCCATTAATCAAATGATCGGGCTTTTCTCCCTGCTCCCATCAGCCTCCAGAGATCATGGCAGTGTCACCCAACACCACTGTACAATGAAACAGCCTTGCTTCCTTATCTCAGGGACAACGAAAGGGAACCAGCCAGTCGTGTGACTGTACAAGGCAGATGCTACAATGCCTCACCACTGCATAGCTGATGCAGAGCAACAGTGGCTCATCACAGGATCTCCTCAGATCCAGACCCTCGGGAAGCTGGATGACAGCATCCTTGGCTCCGAGTCCCCCATTCTTCTTTGCGAAAGACAAAAGACGTGCCGCGCTCTGGGAATCTGTGAAGAGGCCAGAGGGTTAGTCATTTAAAATCAGGTCATTATTTAAAATCATTTAAAACCTGGTAGTTGCTGAGCCTCAGAGTTACAACTCCACAAAACAAAAATACTTTTTTCAGACAGGGATAACTTCGTATCATCACCAGCTCAGCTTTCACAGCCCAAAAGCCCCTCATGGGGGTTCACTGCGTGCTCTGCCCTGGTTGACAACGACACCTGGTGGAGACAGTCCGCTCTGGACATGCTCCCATTTTCAGGCTGGCCGTTTCAACGAGAGGTCAGACTGTGCAAAGGGATGCTAACAAACCGTGCCTTCGCCAAGCCACGCCACTAGCAGAGTTTTTCCCACCCGGGTCTTCAGAGTCAGCATCGCCGCTCCTTACAACTCTCAACATGACTGCAGAAAACTCCCCTTTTCCTTCTCGTCCTTGCCCATTGCCTGGACGTGCAGCACGTGGCACCATGGCGTGCTTTACAATCAGTTATCGCCTGGCCCCGTGGCAAGACGGGGGGGAGAGCGCCGATTTCTGAGGCGTACCGCCATGGGAGAGACCCATCCCACAGAGCGAGGGTGGACAACTAGGGGATCCACCAGACAGCTGGGCTTTGCATCGTCCCCCCGCACAGCATCCCCGGGCACTCGCCCTGTGCCAACGTCCACCCAGGATTCCCACGTGGGCACAGCCCTCTCCGTGGCAGGCGCGGGTAAACCCCCACCCCCCGGCCCCTGCCGATGCCCAGTGAGGCCGCCCCGCAGCCTTCAGGGGACCCCCTGGGCCCAGCCCCGCCTGCGAGGTGCATCACGGGGCAGCTGGGGGGGGGCACCTTACCCCGCAGAAAGGACCGCGCAGGCGGGCGGCCGCCCCCACCATACCCCACCAGAACCGCCGCGCCCTCCTAGCACGTGTCGGCCCCGAGGATGGCGCCAGATCCCGCCCGGCCCGAACGCTCACCGCCAGCCCCGCCGCCATCACCGGCCCTGAGCGCAGAGAAGGCGGGGTCTGCGAAGAGCCCAGGCCTGTCTCGCTCCAGATCTCGCGAGGTTTGCGGGGGGTGCTGGGAAAGCGAGTTTGTGCTGCGTGGGATGGGATGGACTGGAGGGGGAAGGGCGCTGCGAGCTGTCTTACGGCCTCAGCCAGGTGTCTCAAGGCCCTCGCGCCCCACGGGGCTCCTGCTCGGTGGCAGTGATCCTCAACAGGGCGCTGCAAGCCCCCCGGATGGTTGCGGTCCCTTATGGCACCCAGGCTTCGTGATTCACCAGCCTGGAGATTTCACATAGGAACCCACAGCCTGGCCTAGGTGGCCTTTTTGCCAGAAAGACTGCTGTATTGTTTTCTCTCCGCAGTCAAAAAATGAGGGAGAACTTAAGAGGCAGCGTTTTCGGAGAGAATCCCTCCCTTCGCGGCGGTCTGTGCCGCGGCTGCTCAATGAGGCTTGAGGTGACCTAAGAGGCCAACAGACCGGCACCCAGGACGGAGCCGCCGGTCTTTTCCTCCCTCCGCTCCCTCGTCTCTGCTTCGAGGGCCAGGAGCTTTACCCCGAGACGGGCAAGGCGTTGGAGTCCTTCCAGCTTGTGATGCCGAGGGTTGCCTGAAGCCTGACAGGGGTGTCTTGAGTCTAACGAGGTTGAGCCCTGCAGCTGTGCAGGATATGACGAGAGGCAGGAGGCGCACATTACAGGGGGGAAAGACAGTCCCTGTTTTGTTTGATACGGGTGCTTATTCTGTGCTCGTTGCTGTAGAGCTGATGGGAGAGGTCACCAACGTAGTGCCCAAAACCATGGAGGGACGTGAGCTGGGCAGTAGGCTGACAAGAGAAGACAGGGTAGAGTTGTGCCTTATAGACTAAATCCAAGATTCGTAAGCTGTCCTAAATAGCAGCTCTTGTGTCATCGGATGCTATGAAGAGACGTCGTCCATTGTGTGTGTGGGAAGAGGGAGAGGCCGCTTCATGTTGAACACCGGTTCTGATCACAGCATTCACATCGTTTGTTCTCTCATCAGGGAAATAATTGTCATTACTAATGATGTGACACCCGTTGTTCAGGTCTGGTGTTTTGCAACTAGCATTGTACAGCTGTAATCTAAAAGTCACAGCTTAAAGACTTTATGAGTGTTTAGGATTTTTTGGGGGGGGGAGTGTTCACAAGTGTTCACAAACTATACCCTTGAACTAGAGCACTAGACACTAGAGCCCAAAGCAATCAACTAGACCATTATCATGCTGTTTAGTAATGGTGTTTAGTCATTCTTTACATACATGGTGTACTGGTAATAAACAAAATAGATAGTATTTGTCATTTCCACAGAGTTCTGTATCTTCGAAAGGCAGTCTAGGCATGAGTTAATAAATTATGGCTATGTATTAAGTAATTAGCAAGGGATTTGGGATTAATGGGAGATTAGTTAGTAAATGTGTGTACAGTGCTTTGAGTATATAATGAATTCTGCAAGTGTTCTGATTATCATTTGTTATTAGAAGATGCTGCAAGAGCCATGGAGCGTTACCCAACCCCTGAACTGTAACACACTTCAAAGACCCCAAAAGTGCACATCTCCAAATGAAACAGATGGAATCAGCAAGCATAAAGAACTCCTGCCCCTCCCCTTCTGGATTTGATCTGCTCATTTGCTTCTAATGGGAAACAGGCAACACAAAAACCTAATGGCTGAAAGTTAAAAATTAGACACACATAGGTTAGAAATGAGATAGTGAAAGTGATTAAGAAGGGGACCAGATACTGTGAATTCTCCATCTTTTGATGCCTTCAAACCAAGGAGGGAGATCTCCAAGTTATGTATTAGTCACAAGTTTGGGGGATCAATAAAGAAGTATATGGGTAGACAAGGTTCTTCAGGTGAATCTGATATCTTTTATTAGACCAACTTAAATAGTTGGAAAAAAAATTTTTGGCAAGCTTTCAGGTTTAAAAACCCTTCATCAGGCTGAGGAAGTCTCTGCAGTTGGGCTGTGTTCTCTTCCTGGATGGGAGCATGTGGGTGAAATTCTATGGCCGGCATTACACGGAAGGCCAAACTTGATGATCTAAAAATCCTTTCTTGTCATATTTTCTCTGAAAATAATGAATATGGCTCCTACAGTTACCATGTGTTTTCTCAGAAGTGGCCAGGAAGCTGTCTGTATTGGCCGGTGTAAACTGGTAGTGAGACACTCGGTAACACTGTACTTTCATATTCATTATGCTGATGGCAACAGTGCTGCAAAGACACCTCTGACTCTAGATGCACTCACCGTGGGGGAGCTGATGTTCCCATGTTCTTGAGTGCGATGTGAGCAAGGATGGTTTTCAGCCAGCTTATCCCGAGTGCTGTCTGGGTTCCCAGGAGGAGGCAGGATGGGTTGTTTGTTTGCTTAGCCCTGGGTCTCTCTGCCCTCGCTCTATTTTAGAATCTAACTTTCCAAAGCATGGAACTAGCCTGAGCCTAGGACTCTCTGCTCTCCAGCAAGGCCAAGTTTAGTCTTTTAAAAGTCTCAAACAAAGCAAACAGAAACCAAACAGCTTCTTCATTTTCTGCTCCCATTCAAGAGAGTGGGTGTGGGTGGGGAATCAAGGAATCTGGGGCTGTTTTGCAGTGGCTATACTGGAATAGACCAAGTGCTACTGACCACCTAGAAGAGCAACAGAGACAATAACTGGTGTCTACCTTATCACATGCAGAAGTCCCTGGTGCGGAGGGCACTGTAGGGTCAGGCAAGTTGAGCCTAAGCCCTGGCAAGTCTGTCCCATTGTTAATAGTCCTGGTTCCATGGGGCATAAACCAATACCCATCTGTTCCTGACCAGCCCTAGCAGCCATCTAGGAATGATTGTCACCCAAGGGCATGATTCTTAAAATGCTGTCCTGAGGGGCTGAAAACCTCTCAGTAAGCCTAATCATAACAATGGACAGGTCAGATGTTCTTCTCAGACTTATGGTATGTTGTTTATAGTAGAGGTATATATAATATTTATTAGCAAAACCAGGCTAATTACCACAAACAAGCATGAAGCCTCCGTGAAAAGGCCTTTTTCTACTATGGGTGACAATGGCAACCCCTCAAACTCCCACCAACCCAACCGCCTAAACAAAAACCCTTAGAAAAGCTACTTTTATAAGCCCCAATAAAATAACCCAAATAGGTTGAAAAAAGACCTATTAAAACTCTACTCCATGCAGAGGAGCCAGAGGCTCCACAAAATTCACTTAAGACTTTGCTACAAGCATTGATTGTGCTCGGAAGAAGCTCAGATATTACTATGGTGGACAGCCGAATAAAATGATAGACAGGCTGACCTTGCAAAGGAATGTATGTACAGTATTTAGCTAACTAGCAAGTAAGCAAGCCAACACAGTAAATACAAATCCCAGAACAGTCTGTGATAAACATAGCACGGCTATAGTTATTTAAGATCACACAATCACAGTGAATCAGAAAATGTTCCAGAGTTTATTTTATAAGAATAACAAAGTCTCTGCAGCGTAAGAGCTGACTCCCAACTCTCTCAGCTTTTAAATCTGTGTTGGCCAGCAGAGAGAATTATTTTTTTGGTGAGCAAGGGACTGCGTGGATGAGCCAAAGGAAAATGAACAAGGTTCCCCTGGGCACATCACACATACACTATATATATATATTGCTTCTCTACAAAGTGTTGTGTCTATGGGAATCTTGGTTTTCTTATATTCGGGGTTTTACTTCTGAGACTTTGTTCACCTGTAGGGGGCATTCACGTTAAACAAATCTTTAGGGGAAAACTTTGCTTTAGAATTACAAGGTATGTAAAAGTCTCATAGAATTTAATAAAAAATTATAACCTTTCTACTGGTAGTAAAACCCATCCTGTGGAGCTGAATGGTGACTGATATCTCTGTTAAAAATGCAGTGTTTCATGGGAAGGTAAAAGACCCTCTTCCCCACGAAGGACGGTCATGGATTAAGTAATTATGAATTCCCCTGCAGTCTTCATCAGTTAATGGTGGCTTATGTCCTTGCACATGAGAATTTATATCCCTTATACATTTCTGTCCTGTCTCCTTCAACAGTAGATGCTGTTATCTTCCATGTAAATGTCTAATCCTTTTTTGAATGCTAATAAGCTCTCAATCTTTGTAAGGTCTTGTGCAAATGAGTCCTTCAGGTTAAGCGCATGCTGTGTAAAAATGAGAATGACACCATTTCACATGATAAGCCCTGGGTCTTCCTATATCAGTCAGACAAATAAACAGCAGTCATTACTGTTTACTGAGCTGTCTGAGTTTCACCAGGGAAGTGCAATATTTTTGTGGTACTGATTATCTCCAAATCAGATACCATGGTGGTGGGCAAAGGGAAGGAAGGAAGATGGCAAGACTTCCACTGACTACAGTAGGGGTCCAATTCCATCCCAGAAGGGAGAACTGGAGAGCAAGGTCACCTTTCCAATACTCCCACCTGATTCTGCTTTTGCCTGCTCTTATGCATTACAAGCCTTTCCACATGGGGAGCTCTGCATGCTTAACTAAGTGCTAGCAATTGAATTTCATTCCTTCTCAGTGCCCTGCCTGCTACAGTCTCATCCAGCAGCAAACGCCAGGGCGAAGGAAGACTCAGAGAAGCAGAGCATGTTTTGGATTTGAGACCTCCCACTGTGGTTATCAGCTTAAACATATGGCTTGGAAAGAAAAGGGTATTTGAACTTATTCAGCTTAAACATATGGCTTGGAAAGAAAAGGGGATTTGAACCTATGCAAAAGAGAAGTCCCCCATTGCTAGATGTTCCCTGCAGGCAGCAATCTACCACACAGCCTAGGTCTGTAAAGCACAGGGGGGGAGCAACGTTTGCAGAGTTGCTGAAGAGACGGCAGGTTTAGTTTGTTACATCTGTTCTTTGTGTTCTTCTATTTCAGCTGCCACTGCACTGCACACAGGACAGAGAGCTGCGAGGGATGGTCTGGGCCACTGGTATTATTATAACCCCAGATGGTTTTATTC